CCATGTTCACGGGCCCCCCTTTATTGCTCATTTGGACTAGTACGAAAGAGGTAATGCTGAAGTTTGGGGAAATTAATCTCCGGGGTTGTACGAATTAGAGCTGTCGGTTTCACACATGAACAACGCCTCGGTGGGGATTGCGGCTGTTAAGGTTTTTAAGGTTGGGAGGCTGAGATTTGATATCGATTTGAAGGTGGACTACACGCCAACTATCGCGAAATTAGTTGATGGTTGATACCATCGTGTATTCTTCTCGGTTCTCGAATGTCGAACAGTAGTTTTACTAGTTGGTCGTAACTGGTCATAAGGGGTCGGGTATACAATTAGATTCATATTGAATTGGTATAATATTTTGAGATATGTATGTATATCTACAATCGATTGTATATACTACATAAGTACTAAGTATGTAGTATCTTGGGACCTGAAGTTGTATCTAATATCTTGAATCGCGCAGTTTGAAGATGCCTGCAATTGGCCTTGCAACCGCACTCCAAAAATTCAACAAAAACATCCAAATAAAATTCTCAACAATTTATACTAGAGCTCAATATCTAAAGCATCGGCTTCAGTTTGAACCACATAACTCGAAAGGCAAATCGATATCAAGAAATAATAACTAACCGTTAACTGGTTCATTTTTTTGCGTTTCGAAACTACTATACTTGCACACTATTAAAGGAACAATATATATTTCTAGAAATCGCGGGCAAGGCCTAGCTTAAGGGAAACAGGTTCCCGCTGCCAGGTAGATAACAATTGATAGCATCGTAAAAACATGTAACAAAATTGCATAATTCAACCGTCCAAGGGATTTCCGCCAGCTTCGTGATGAAGAGTGCAACTCTGCTATGCGTAGCTCCTGCGACCCAAAGACCAGGTTTGGTCTCACGTCATGATATATGGATATCATGCATTATGGGCCTTAGTAAATGGCGACCTCTTCCCAGCTCCTGAAAATAATGCTGCTATTGACCTTCACATATCTCCCAACACGCTGGGTGTCATCGCCATCTCTAAAAGCGACGAGTTCCCAACCACCGCCAGAACCTTCCTTGCGGTTCCAGATGTCGCTGCCACCTGGTTGGAGAGTGAACCAGTCGTCGGATCCGCCATTGTACTTGGAGACGAAGACGTGGATTGGGGATGAAGTCTCGTTGGCGATTCTGATGAAGCCGACCATTTTCCTTTTTATGAATTTGTGGATTAGTAATGAATGAGCTTTGAGGGTTTTCAGGGTTTGGTGACTTACAAGTTTTTCTGGAGGATTGGTTTGAGAGATTTGGTAGGTTTAATCGATTTATAAAGGATAGCTCTTGGCCTAATGGTAAGAAGAGAATGTTAGGACTTTGATTGCGAGGGAGAGGCGTTGGTTTCTAGTTTTGTAGTAGGAAACTCTGCACTCGTCTAGGGAACCCACTTACTGAGAGTTAGAGGATTGTATTGCTGTATTGCTGAAGTGTCTTGGTGTGGATTGAAGAAAAGAGATTGGAAGGTAGAGGGAGGGCTCTAATTTATAGACGAGATCTCTTTCCTCGAAGTAGAGAACTTTGAGAGAAATTCGGAGGTCCTGTAGAGCATCTCTAGGCGGCACCATAGCCTCGCAATCCCAAAACCCTTGGAGATAAGATCATTCTATTGACGAACCAAAAATCCAATAGTCATTGACTCCGGCGACTTCTGCATCGCCATTGTGGGCCCGGCAGAACCTGAAGCCAAAAACCATGTCATGGCCGACTGGACTGCAGGGCCTTTCCGTGTCCAGCAGGATATTTTGTCAGCCTGCATCGGCCGAATTACTTTTGAGGGACGAGCTAGTGATGATAACCGGCCAATTGAAGTCTTTCGATGTAGTCATATTGTTTGAAAACGATAATTACGTAAATTCGAACAGTGAATAAGCTTTAAAATACCGTGGCGTGTATGCATAATATCCTTGGTTATATCCATTGGCACGTCGATACCTCCCAGCGTTGACCAGCTGCAGCGGACGGACAAGTTTTTTAGAATAAGCTTAAGCTTAAGATACACCCTTGTGATAACGTTAGTAGACCCTGATTAAGAAGATGGGCCGGTAAGGCTGCATTTCGGGAGAACCCCTCACCTGATACGTGCATACAGATCACCAGGTTTAAGGCTCTTTGTAGACAAGCTTCTCGTCGATTTGGTTAGCGGTTTGAACGGTTTTCGCAATTTGCTTTCAGCCCTGCGCGCGGCTGAGTTTCGAGTTTATGGAGACTGCCAAATGCCACATATGATTTTGCGTTGAGCGTGGTCGACCGACATGCGAATGGACTCATACGTATACCCGACTGCGATAGACTGCATATACTCTAAATCTATTGTATATTGCGAGTAGAAGCATGGGTATCCCTGGATTTGCCCTCGTCGGTAACTGGAGGGGTTGTTTGAGGTAAAAGTTTTAACGTTATGAATGGCGGACCTAGACGCCTCCCCGCCCGCATGCTGACAATGCAGGCCGTCCGACCGGCCCGTTATGGTTACATTTTCCCTTAATTCTCTCGTTCCAGCGAGGGCCCGGTCACACGACAGTTGCCTTGAGAAAGACGATTGATGCAGCCTTATAGGGTCATGTAAGATGATGTCAAACCATGTTTTGATGTCGTTGCAATTGGTGGCTTGGGGCGCCATATGTGCGGTGGAGGCTATTGTCACGGTGTAGAGTGGCGAGGAGGATACATTCCATAATTACAATTGGACAGCTATTGGTATCCGTGCAAGCATATCTATGGCTGGCTGGGAGAGAAGAGGGGCTTATCGGTTTCGTTTACCAGCTGCAAAGTCAACAAACCCAGCCGAGTTTTTCCTCTCTGTGAGAGGAATTTATCTTAACTTGCTTTCGACTTGTTTCTGTGGAAGCTTGCAGATTCAAATTGGGTTAACTCGAGTTGAACGTAGGGTTAGATTCGTGCCTTTCTAAGCTCACCAGGATCAAGGTAACATGTCTTGTTATTGGGTAGATGCAATCCCGTAAACCCAACATCCTTCTTTCGGCCGTGAGAAGTTTTACTTAGCGATAGTGCATATTCGCATATGAAGGTCTCAGGGTTCGGTATACACCAGGTTCAATGCTAGGAAGGGGTCCAAGCTCGTGCAAATAGAGTATTGATATCCAGAGATTCAGGGATCGTATACTTTATTTTGAGACTAAGCTTCTAAATTTCATCTCAACATGCATCGAGTACCGGGATTACAAAAATGACTTTCGATCGGCTACTCTTTATGGGTCTGGGTACGAGACTACTTCCTATTGTGTAGTAATACCATTGCAACAATTTAAAGCCAAATTTGCAAAATTTACTAAAGAAAGAAGCCAATAGGCCTACGTATTGTCTTAGCACACATCTTGGTAAAAACGCCGTTCTATTACACGAAATACCAAGAAAGCAAAGCCAGTTATCGTACATTCATTACACGAAAGTAGTGGTGTTCTTGTAAGATAAAGCAAAATATCCACATATTGAAATATTTCAGTAGCATATACGGCAGACACCTGAGAAATCGCTAGCCTGGGGTAATGTCTTTTTGAAGCTACTTCCAACCCTACGAGCTCGGTTCGGCCGTCGATGGTGCATGCATAAACCAGGTCTACAGGCTATCAATAGGGAGCAAAAGAGAGTGGAACGGGAGAGGGGGGAGTGGGACAAAGCGTCTGCACGTATCATGCGAAGCACTCGATCGGTACGCGGTATCTTACATGCAAAGGCTGGCCTGCGGGACCTGTGTACACCTACTCTTCGTGGCGCGTGGAGGCCCTCATGCTCATCTCATACTAGCTGCGCAATCGTCACGCAGCCCCCCCGCCAAAATTCAAAGATATTACTTCTGTAGCGTGTACTAGAGCTAGCGTAGGGAGGGTCGCTAGAATAGCATCGAATCCTTCCATGGGTCTAGTATCGGATTGGAAAAGCTTTTGATCGATATCTCGAGCTTGTCGACAGTAGCATCCTAGGACCAAAGCTCCAAACTAGTTCTCACGAATGAGGCTCAAAGTAGGGTTCTCAGAGGGGCAGTGCAAGTTGGCATTGAAGAGAAATCATCAAATTGTATTGGAATACCAATTCACGAGTGCGAGCTCAATAGTCATCTGAATCGATCAGAGATCAAGATACATATATGTCGATATGACACCATATTTGGTATTTAGGTAATCTAACTACCCCGATCAGATCTTTTCAAACCTTACCAACCTAGAACCAGTCTCCCTTCTCTGCGATATTTCATACAGTAAAGTACTTTCATGGGCTATATACGCCTACTAGCCCGGTTACGAGACTAGAATCCCGATCCCAAAGGCTATGACCCTGAGGTACGCCAAAACCTTGCGGCTTTTCATCCAAGCAGCGGGTTTAGCTCAGTTGGGAGAGCATTCGACTGAAGTCAAACTTCAATCTACAAATCGAAAGGTCGTGTGTTCGATCCACACAAACCGCACTCACTTTTTTTGGAGGTCTTTGAGGCTTCTGGGATTACTTCTATGTGAGGTTTTTTTTTTTTCAATGGGGTTTGGATAGGTGGGTTGAGGTGTGGATATTCCGGGATCGGAAGGTGCGGGGGTTGTGTACCGCTAGGGCTTTTTATCGATTTAGTGCGGGGCACACTTTTTTAGTAGAACCGACGGTTCGCCGCACCACTGTTACGTCTGGTCTCGCGGGATGCTGCGGAGTACCGATAGAAACGGAATTGGATATTTAATCCATCATGAAAAGCAACTGGGCATGTGCAGATATGATATTCTGAGTGGAAGCTCGAGCTCGGGCATCTTTATTTAAACACAAGTGGGGCGAGCGGGGTTTGTAGACGTATTATCAAGCGAATCCGCATTATTCATGCATCCTGCATGCAGTACACACCTGGGATATAATTTTCGAGCGACCTCTCTTTCAGTACCAGACGTTCTTTGTCGGGATGCTCCTCTTCCCTTCATTTCATGTTATTTTGCTATAAAACCGATGAAAAGAGACAGCATTTCATCAGTTGCGGGTTTAGCTCAGTTGGGAGAGCATTCGACTGAAGTCAAACTTCAATCCATAAATCGAAAGGTCATGTGTTCGATCCACATAAACCGCACTCATCATTTTTTTGCAACTTTTTTGTCTGGCTCCCATCGTGGGTTCGTTTTTTGATCTGCTAGGGTTTGTCGTCATCTTTTTAGGCTTTCAAACTGGCCGTCCTTGAGGGGAAAGCCTTCTTAGAAACCTCAATCGATCAACTGGAACTCCGGTGGCCGGGGAAACCATTGGTGGTCATATAGTAAGCATATTTTTTGTATTCCGTCCGCCTTACAGGCACCCGACATCCCTTTTTCGCAAATTTAAACGCATTATAATATTAATACGAGACTGGCCTCTTCCTATCGTGATTCCGAAAAGCCGTAAGCCAGCCACATCACGAATGACATACGCCACACAGGGTATCTAAACATAGTGTGGCGCTCGATTGACATCTTGCATAACCCTCCGTTACAAATCGAAAATTACGCCCAGCCATCGAAAATCTGACAGGTGCTGGATATACGCTCCCAAAAGCTGGGGGGGTTTCAGAGTTTGACTTTCGGTGGCGTTTAGGCCGACGAAACGGTTCGAAAAAAAGTATATGCGTGAAGAGCTAAATTTTGAGTCGGATGCATATATGTATGGGCTTTTTCGGGTTTCCACGCGTCGAAGATCTTAACTAAGCCCGGTGTGAGTTGATAGTATGTACCTCGCAGGCGGAACCTACATATTGTGGGGAAAAGGGTTCAGGTTGCGAAAGAAGCGTTTTTTTACTAAAAACTGCCGTTATTCTTATGTGACCTTTTTTTGCTTTGCGCCCGGGTAGTGTTTCAGGATCTAGGATTTTGAGAGTATTACTATGTGTTCTCCGAGAACCGACGTGCCGGAAGAGCGGGCGGGCGTGGAGGATGTGAAAAGGGTTGACTAGTTTGGTTCTTGGCCTTTCTGTTGCTTTGATATTCGAAGGCCATGTGGTCTATTGAAACCATGGAGATGTGACGGGTATTTCGTAGAGTCAGTTCCGGGCCGGATAATCTGTTAACCCGGATTTCAACGTTTTTCATCCCATCTAGTTGGGAAGAAGTGGGAGGTGAAGTATATGTGATATCATTAATATTCGCCACACTCAGGGTTCATGATTCGATCTGTGCCCTCCTGACTGATGATAGACAGGCTCAGTCTTTTAGGCTTTTTGTCCTCACCAAAGCTTCTGTACATAGTAGAAGCGTGTGTGGTTAAGCTCGAGTTCAGCCCTTTTTGACTTTGGTGGTGACCCACAGCTAGCAAGCTCGGGATTAGGCGCCATCGAAAAAGCAGCCAGTCCGATTCCCCTTCCCGTTTCAGATGTTCGGACCCACATTGTAGTTTTAGCAACCGGCTCCCAACCAACAAAAGGGACGGATCTGACCAGAAAAGCAAAAAGGCGCTGCATCACTTTGCGAGGGGAGCACCAACGTTTGTGCATATTATTGGATGACTTGTATAGCGGGAGCTTTGGGTTGCTGGGGTGGTGGCATAAACCACCTGTACGGAGTATGACAAGACAGCTTTACACGGTATAACTGTGTAAGTGTTGGGGATGGGGTATCGGGAATTGAACCTATAGAAACTGGGCTTTGGCCGGCGAGCTTGGTTGGAGGAAGAAGACTTTGCATTGGGGGAATTTGGATAGTTTGGGGGGAATTCGGAAGGAAGTCTTTCTTTTTTTCACGAGGGGAAAGGTTAAGGGGATGAAATGGGTGGGATGTTCATCAGATGCGGAGGGGATGTAGGGGGAACTTTGGCCTTTCATGAGATACCACGTTGACATGTGGACTCGAATGGTCTCGACACGGACTCGAAAAGGTTGTGAATGTATACGTTGGTGGTAGACATGGTATGCGGTACTTACAGATGCTGTGCGATGAGCTGGTCGTCTATGCAGGTACGGGGTTGTTAAAATTGCACAAGCTCGCAAGGTTTCCCGTGTTTTTAATATATTTTTGTCTTGAGTCTTTCGAATACTCTTTTGTATTCGTGGAATGTCAATTGAATATTTGATTCTTGCTCGACTCGTGGGAGCTCGACGCTAGTTTGGTTTTTTGACTTCCCCTTTTCGCTGTAGTGTTACAAGTAGACACTGAGCGATACTGGATCCGAAGTTAGCGGCATGGGCTACCTGCAAGGTACCGGTACCGAGTCTGACATGGCCATTGCCATTCCCGATCCCCATGTATTATCGCGACATCTGGCACGATTCAATGGCCGGCTCGTCTTTGTTCGGCTCCTCTTGCATGCAGGAGGCAATTTAAGATGCCTATACGTAACAGCGCATCATGATATCAAAGAATGCAACGAAGAAAAAAAAGTTCAGAAAGAAAATTTGAACATACTAAAGACGGTGAAAGAGCCAATAATTAGCCTTCCTGCCCTCGAAAGGCAAAGGGAAGAAACGGACGGCCGTGTCGCACGAAGCACTACCGCTGCACTCTGCTGTCGAATTTTTTTTGCTCTTTGCAACCGAGCGAAGGAAAGGTTGACTCGTCTCACCGCACGAGCCCGGAAAGTATGTGAGACCGGAAAGCGTATTGTACGCAGAAAAGAAAAAAAGAGTTTTTTTTTCTTTGAATCCTTTTTTTACGAATCAGCTCCGGCGGGCAAAGAAAAAAGTCAGCGGAGCTGTGGTCGAGTAACGTATGGCCATATGCGTATGTCGTATTGGCTGACTGGGTGGTGGGCTGATATATTGTCTTGATCACTCCCTCCTTCCTTCCTGCTCCGCCATCCTTCGTCAAGATTTTCTCCTCCGTCTGAGTCTCTCCTTCGTTTCGGTGTCTTGGTCGCTCCCTTCTTTTGTCTCTCATTGGACGTGTGGTTTTTGTGAATAGTTGCTGGCTGCATTTATTCATGTTTGAATTTTTACATTTTTTGATTGAAAAAAGAATTTCAAAGTGACTGAACTGAACAAAACATAATATTCTCTCATTTGCGGACACATTTTGATTGTTATTCATTGCTGATTGTTGATTGTTGATTGTTTCTGTGCGGGCATATTGCTTAATTGATTGATTGATTGATTGCATGAGAAAGAGGCAGCGCAGAGCAGAGCAGCGAAATCCGAGTCAAGAATAGCTGCCTGCGGTTTGCACATTACGACAGCATTCATACGCTCATTCATATTCACTAATACCCGGGCTGTTTTTTGCTGCATATTCCAGTCATTCATATCTTCTCTCTTCTCTCCACATTTTTTTTTTTTTTTTTTTTTTTATTCTCTCTCTCACTTTCTGTGACTATCTTGTTATCACGATTCTTAAAGACACTCGACTCTCCTTCCCAGTTCGGCTGGACGAGAACCACCTCACCGACAACACATTTCTGAACTAGGCACCTGCCCTGAGAAACACCAGTTTTTTGTTTCCTGTCGACACGAAAAATACAACAATCGATAAAGGCCAGAAATAGCCTGCATACACACACTTAAACCCATCGTGCATCTTGCATCTGATTTTTCAGAAGAAAGCATTGCATCGTTATCACAAGCGTCTGTTTTCTTCCCACGACTACAACAGCACTGCAAACTTGTGAAGTTATCGATAGGTCGGTTACCTGAGTCCTAGTTAGTCAAAAGAAACAAGCCCCTGATCGAAATCGCGCCCTTGGACGGTTGTTTCAAGAGCCTGGATCGTCAACAGTCATTACCCACAAGTACTCACTTACACACGAGTAACAGCTAACACGGACGGGTAACTCCAGCCTACGTATTCCGGAACTACTTCATACGCTACGTTACGGAGCAAAAAGAAAACTTTACTGCTGCCGTTTAGTTGAACTCCTCGGCAAGCGCTGCGCAGTGTTCTATTCTTTGATCACTTTATTTTCTGACCTGCAGCATTTGATACTTAAAACCCACTCCCCACATACATAACACCGTGCAGCAAGCACCAAGCACCTCGGACTAAGAAATCAGCTAGCTGGCTTTTAAAAAAAGAGTGCGGAAGGCTGTCTGTCAACCCACCAAACCCACCGGATTCTAATCAACTAGCACGCATACGAGACTAACGTTGGTCACGTTGGAGTCTGTTCTCTCTTTTAGCCAGTTGACCCTGCAGGGAAAAAACAGAAGAGAAGGAACTGACGGGCAATAGCTGGGGAGGTCCTGGTCATTTTTCGGCACACCCTCAGCGTCTTTCCAGAACAACCAACCGCACCGCACGGCTTCCCTTTTTTGGTAGACTGCCCTTTATAGCCAGGCTGCTGTCCCCCCCCTCCTCTTCGTTCTTTTTTATTAATATACTTCCTCCTCTTCTTTTCTCCACATTTTTCTTTTCTTTCCTTCTTGCTTTCTTTTCTAGGAGGTGCAAAATATAGGCAGGTAGCAGGTCCTCCTCACAAGCCTTCGATAGGCCCCCCCGACTGGACATTTTATACCGACGACCAGTGGTTACGGCACCGACCATCCAGTTGCCAGGCAAATTAATTGGTTTCACAGGCGGAAACAAACAACACAATCCACAGTCCTCACCCCATCTCCCCGGCGGCCTATTCACAAATCACAACAGCAAACTCGCCTTCGCAACGCATAAATCGACGGTTTAGGCCCAACAAGGCAGCTGCTCATTTCAGATCCAACTTTTGCTTCCTCCAATTTGCAATTAATTGCAATTTACCTATCTCTCGCCAGGAAAAAGGAAAGCGGAAGGCGGAACACGGGAAAGGACTTCGATAGCCCCTCGCAAACAATTATAAATCAAAATGGAGAGAATATCCAGAGCCTCCAAGGCGTTCCATCGCAACTCAAAGAACTTGCGCGATTCCCCTCCTCCAGACTCGCCGGACCGCAGCCGTTTCGGGAGCCTGAGATCCAGTCGATCCTCGCGAGCCAGCACCCACGGTGGCAGTCAAGACAACATTAAGTTCCAGATATCAGCGCCTGTCGAGCTCATTTCTTCCACCAATATGCTCTCCTACACTTCTCTGGCCCTTAGGAGCCCCAGTCCTACCGGAAAGACTGCTTCGTCTATTGGTTACTCTCCCTCGCAATCTCACCAGAGTACATTCAATTCTGCCTCTGCTGCCGCTGCTGCTCAGAGGGCG